CATCTTCCCGAGTCTAATATGGAAGAGACATGTGTGGACAATAGCTGTTCTGAAATGGATCTGGGAGTTTTAGTGGCCTGCAAACTTGAAAGGAATGAATAGTGTTATGTGGTAGCTAAAGAAGGCAATGCCATTTTGGAATACATTAAAGGGGTGTAGCTTCCAGAAATAGGGAGGTGGTAGTCCTCTGCTATTCTGACTTCATTAGACTTCATCTGGAGAATTGTATTCAGTCCTGAGCATCACAGTTTAAGGAGAACATCGATAAACAAGGGAGTATCCAGAAAAGGACAATCAGGATAGTGAAGGACCTTGAATCCAAGTTAAAAGAAATTAAGGAAGGAAGGAAGGAAGAAAAGAAAGAAGGGAAAAGAAAGAAAAGGACACAAACATTTTAAAGTTTCTACTATGTGCTAGGCACTATGCTAAATGTTTTACATGAATTATCTCATTTGATCCCCATAATAACCCTAGGAAGTAGCTGTTATTATTATCCTTATTTTAGAGTTGAGGAAGCTGAGGCAGACAGAGGTTAAGTGACATGCCCACAGTCACACAACTAGTAAGTGTCTGATGCTGGGTTTGAATTAAGGTCTTTCTGACTCTATCCACTGTACCACCTCACTGCCTCCTAATGCTGACACATACACTGGTTGAAGAAACTGAGTATATTAAGCCTGAAGAAGCAAAGATCCAGGGGGATATAATAGTTGTCAATTATTTGAAGGGCTGTCATGTGAAAGAGGGTATACATTTCGTCTGTTTGCCCCCAGAAGGCAGGGCTAGGAGCAAAGAGTGGAACATAGGTTTTATGATGGGGGCTGGGGGAGAAACTTCCTGAAAATAAGAACTATCCAAAAGTAGAAAGGCTGCCTTCAGAGAAGGTGGGTTTCCCCTTCTTGCAAGTCTTCAAGCAGAGGCTGGCCTACTACTCATGTGGCAGGGTATAATGGGAATTCCTTTTATATGTGGGTGGGACCTGAAGGAGTCCTTTCCAACTCTGTGGTTTTGTTAGGTACCCATAAGTTAAGTGATTCACCCAGGCTCACAAAGCAAATGTGTGTTCCAGCCAGGACATTGGAGTTCTCTATTATTTAGTTTAGTTTTTCTAACGTGAATCTTTTTTTTTCTTATTTGATTATAAGCTCCAAGAGAATAAGAACCATTATTTATTTCACCTTCATAAGTCCTGTGTCCAGCACTCTGCACATAGTAAGTGCTTAATTAAGGTTTGTTCAATTGAATAGCAGAACGGAGAGTTACCTGGGTCATTGACTCCTGAAGATCTTTTTGGATCTGGACTCTCTTATCATCCAGTGTGATACCTAACCATAAATATAATTTGTGACTGTTCTACTAGAAAGGGAAGAAAGATGACAATACAAAGAATCTTAAAAGTTAAGTGATTTCCTTCTCTTTTTCAGGGAGCTCCAAACGTGAGTGTAAAGTCACTGAATTGGTCTCATCTGGGAAAAATGCCCAAATGAGATTTTCTTTAGCCACTGTAAATATACCTCATCAGTATCACAAGTCTGGATTAATCCAATGTAGATTTTTTTTTCAGGAGGTTTTAATTCCTTTCAATCTCACCTAGCAGTAAAATGTCTCAGGTTGACCAGAAAGCTCACTAACTAGAAAGCAGCATCAAGTCATCCAATACATTGGAAGGTTGTAGGGAAGGAGAAGAGAAATGAAGAGAAGTGGAAAATTAGTAACAGTAATTCAAAAACAGTGAAGTTTAAACAATGTGTTTAGCCCAGAGATAGCTACATAAAATGTGTAGGTTAAATCTCAAATTTCTTCCAAGGTACCTAAAGTCCAGTGCTATTCTCAAGGTATGGTCTGAAGCACTCTCTACATATAATTTCTCCAACACAGTTATTCTTTGTTGTTTCCTCATAATCATTCTCCTATGAGGAACAATTATTATACCCCTTTTACATATGAGGCAACTGAGGCTCTGAGATACTAAGTCACTTGACCACGGTGGCACAACTAATAAGTGAGGCAGGGTTTGAACTCAGATATTCTGACTCCAAGTCAAGCATTTTACCATTATACTAAACTGTCTTCTAAATAAGTGAATACAAGGCAACTTTGGAAGGGATAAGCTTTCTAATAATTGGGGGAAAGTAAGAGATATCACTGGGGCAGCGAAGTGGTGCAACGGATAAAACACTGGCCCTGGAGTCAGGAGGACCCGAGTTCAAATCTGACCTCAGATACTTACTAGCTGTATGACCCTAGGCAAGTCATTTAGCCCCTATTGCCTCCAAAAAAAAGACATCACTAAAACTAAGCCTTGAATGAAGATTAGGATTCTAAGAGGATGGAGTACCTCACAGGCTTGGGGGACAGTTTATATAAATGCACAAAGGTGGGAAACAGAATACTGAGTTTAGGAAACAATGAGTAGCCTAGTTTGGCTGGAAAGCAGAATCTGTGAAGGGGAATAATGTGAAATAAATGTGTCTAGAAAGGCAGGTTAGAGTCAGACAATGGAACAAGATGGAGAAATGTATATTTTAAAAGAGACTTCCTCAAGTCTTTTGCATCCAAGTCTGAACTATGCTTTAGAAAGATTATTTTGGCAGCTACACGGCGGCTGGATTAGAGTGGTAACAGACTGGAAGCAGGGAGATGAGTTAAGAGGGTGTTACGGTAGTTCCAATGACAGAGGTCACAAGTACCAGAAATAGGGTGGTAGCTATGTGAGTGGAGTATGAATGTGAACCATGCTGTGGAGAGAGAATCAACACAATTTGGCAATGAGTGGATGAGGGAGGGTATGAAAGAAAAACTCCAATGTAAAGAGTAGGGAGAGTAATGGCCATTCAATAGAAACAGAGTAGTGGGAGAGGAATGTGTTTAGAGGGAAAGACAATGAGTGAGGCTAAGATACTGACAGCACACTCCTAGGAAAATTTCCAGGAGGCAGCTGAACTGGAATTGAGAAGAGAGATCAGGGTGGAGATAAAGATTCGAGAGTCATTTGTACAGACATGGGAAGTAAAGACCCTTCAGCTGGTGATTATTTTGTTGTCGTTCATTCTTCATTCTAGAAAAGGACCAATGACATCAGGAGGGTGATGTCTTGCCTTGTGCGTGAGTTGGATTTAAGTGAGACAGAACGAAGCAAAGTCATCAGTCTCATTCTCTCCTCCAGAGCCATAAGACTCCAATGGTAAGACAAAAGTCAAGATGATTGGCAATGGCCCCCATGCATGGGCAAAATCACTAAGGAAAGGAATACCCAGAGAGAAAAGAGGACTAGGATGGAACCTTGGGAAATACCCAAGGTTAAGGGGTAGAACATGGACAATGGCTCCAGTAAAGTTTAGGGAAAAGGGCAGACAGGTAGGAGGAAAACTTAGCAAAGGTAATGGTATAGGAGCTAAGGGAAGAGAGAGTATATAAGAGGAGGGAATCATAGGTACTCCACAAAGTGGCAAAGAAGTCAAATGGGACAACTGAGAAAAGTCCATGAAATTTAGCAACTAAGAAATGACTGAAGCCTTAGAGAGGACCACTTGGGTCCAGGGGTAGCTAGCTGATAGTGATAGCTCATATTTATAATATAGAGCTTCACAGTTCACAAGGCACTTTATAGTTTCCCCTCCTAACAACCCTGAGAGGTAAATATTATTATTGTTATTTTACAGATGAGGAACTGAAGCAGACAGAGGCTGAATAACTTGCCCAGGGTCTCATAGTTAGTAAGCATCTGAGAGAGAATTAGAATTCTTCTAATTCTCCAAGTCCAGCTCCCTATCTACTGAGCCACCACAATGGAGATAAGATCAAAAGTCAGATTTAAAAGGATTGAGAAGTGAATGTGCATTGAGGAAGAGAAAGCTATGTAGATGATTTTTTTAAAAAAGAATTTTGGAGAAGACAGAAAGGATATAGGTAGGTATTTTTAAGGATGAGAGGGAGCTGGGCATGTTTGAAGAAGGGGCAGACAGAGACATAGAGAGGGGAGAAGGGGAAAGGGAGTGGGGGAGAGAGGGAAAGAAGAGAAAAGGAGAAGGAAAGAGGAAGAGACGGAGAGAAGAACAGGATACTTGCAAAGTATCCCTTTGCAAGAAGGGATACTTCTTTCTTGGGGACTGGAACAAAGGAAGAGAAAACAATGGAAAGGACAATGCAAAAGGATTTTGAACTGTGGGCATGGGAGAAAAGGGTGTTCACAGAGGATGGCTTTGATATTGTCATTAAAACAGAAATTGAAGAGAGAGTCTCTGCTGAGGAAAAGGAAAAGAAATCAAGTTGGAGGCTTGAGGAGAGAGTAATATGTTTGGCCCAGCTGTGTGAAGTTCCATAGACAGTCAAACAAGGAAGAAAAAAAAAAGATTATTCTGTAGCAACGGGCTCAACTGGCATTATGCATTGATCTCATTCAGGCATTTTCAGAGGCTCAGGAATAGGATCAGAGAAAAATAATGGAGGCAATTCACGGTTGAGATATAGAAATGTGTGAGCGTTTTTAGGGTGAAGGATTCAAGGGCAGTATACAGGAGACAGCTGAACTTCTCACTTAAAATATTAAGAATGGCATCAACCCTCCTCAATTTATATATCTGGGGAGATGTTATTGTTGTTTAGAACCTGTATTTAGGGCGTGATGGAGATAGGTAGAAAAAGAAGCTGAAACTCAAATTGGTCAAGTCTATTGTTTTTGGTTTTTTGGTTTTTTGTTTTTTTAGCAACTCTGACAAATGGTTTGCTTGGGGAGAAAATGAAAGAAACCCAATGGAGAAAATGAGCTCTTTTCTGATCATCTGAGGGTTTTCATTAACACAGATCATCAAGACAATGGCATGTTGGCTACTATTTCTAGTCCATCCAAAAATCCCTGGGTGTTCACATCCAATATCATTAGAATTTTAAAATAGCGATCCCATCTCCTTTCAGCTACTTATTAATTTTAGCATGTCACTTATGCTAATGTTTAGTTAGCAAATATTTAATCAGCTCAGATGGCCAAAAGAAAGTTTTACCTGCTGGTAAAAGTCAGCGCTAATGCCGTTGCCAAATGAGGCATCAATCGGAGGTACTGCGTTTGGTGTTCAATGATCTTGACTTCTTCCTTGGCCTTGGGCCCAAACTGCCTCCGGCTAGAAGTAGTAAAAGCAAACATGATATTTTATTGAAATTCAAAAGGCAAAACCTTTGTGTTTCTGGTGAGACAAGTGAACAGACAGCATGAAACTGTTGCAAAAGCCAAACAGCAGCCTATTTGTCTTCCAAAATTGTTTAGAAACAGAATCTAATAGTGTCTTTCAAAATTTGATTTAAAACAATTAAAAACCATAAAGTCTCCCCTCCCCCCCATATATACAGAACAACAGCACCTGAAGATGGGTCAAAAGGAAGCTTTTTAATGTTTTCCTCTAGATACAACCCTTTCCCTCCATTTCATGGGCAAAGAGATTTTTATTGCTTAACATTTATATGGCATTTGATAGTTTCCAAGTGCCTTAAGATCATTAATTATTCGGTTTAACTAACTTTGTGACATAATTAAGAGGATGGTAGTGATATTCTAGAACATATTTCAAAAGGACATTCTCAGAAGGAAACCAACTTTAACCCTGGTGTTCCTGTCAAATTCAAATACAGGTCATTATTTTCAGCCTCCCTGAGGCCCCCCCTGTGGTTTCAAGTGGAAAAGGTATCTTCACTTCCTGCCTTCAATTACTGTTGAGTCTCTCCCATGCCCTATAAAACAGCTGCTGTGCTTTCCTCTCAAGGTAGGCATGTCAAGGGTGAATACAACCATTCCAGCAAGGAGTTTATAAAATATCAGGGGATCTTTTGCATGAAAGGTGCTCTATCACTGTAGGTCATGATCATTAACGAGCAAATGTTTAAATGAACTTTCATAAAACCCCCAGGGCTGCTAGGAACTTTGAGGGGTCATCGAATCTGTGCCCCTAACTCTCTCTCAAAGCCCTAGACCTTAAACATAGTGTTTCTGAGTTGGTAGGGTCTGGATATTTAAAAGTAGTAATCACAACATGAGCAAGAACAGAATATTTCATATCTATTCATCATCTTTCTCAGGAGGCCATTTAATTACTGTATTCTATGAGGACATTTATTTCCTTGTAATAGCTTAGCTATGACCCAAGTCAATCAATAAATCAATCAATTAACAAGGATTAAATACTTGTTACATTTAATAGCAGTATGATTCATGGGAATTAGTATGATTGGTTAGCAATTAATAATATTAAGCAAACACTATATGCCAGGAACTGTGCCAGGCACTGGAGATACAAAGACCCACAAGAAGCTTACTGGGCCTATGGGAAAGACAACATTTAGTTAGACAGATAGATAAATAGATAGATAGATAGATGAGTATGTATATACACAAAGTAAAATTAAATAAAAAAACCAAACATTTAAAAATACTTACATTGAGAAAAAATAAAAAATTAAATGTTAAAAATATTAATAGCAAGCCACATTTATGGAGTACTTTAAAGATTATAAAGTATACTCAAAGAAGTATTTCCTATGTGGGGATAAAAATCTATCAAATTATAGTCAGTGTACTCTTCCATAGTATCGTACCTGTACACTTTGGGTAAATAGCTGTTACAAAGGATGTGATAAATCTTAACACCTTAAAAAAACAATACTACTTCAACATGACATGTTGTACAATATCTTCCCAAGTTCCCCTGTATTGGAGGGATCTAGTTTTCATTGGTTCACTGTATCTCATTCACTAATTAAAGCTGGGCTTCCCTTCCCAGTAATCTTTTCATTATCCTCCTCTGCGTTTAGGAATATAAACCCCATTCAGAGACAAGACACACTCAGTCAAAGTTTAAATTGGACAGAATTAGGGAAGGTGGTTGAGGGCTAGGATGACAGCCTTTTACTGTGTCTTAGACCTGGTCCTTTTCATCTGAGGTTGATGTGAAGAAGTTAAGGAATAAATACGTTGTCAAATGGTTTGGGGAGAGTGAGAGAATCCTCTGAGAAGTCATCTCACTAGCCCAAAAACTTTCAGACCTCTCAAAGCAGCCTGTTCCCTACTGTATAGGTCATTTAACAGATGAAAAGAATGTGCTGTGGACAAGGATGATAAAAGAAGTCCATAGCAAAGTCAAAAGGAGCACTCAGAGGGCTCAATTCAATTGCCCTCCTAGCTTTTAGACCAACTATGAGGAAGGAAAGAGAGGAGACAAAGCTAACCATCCCATGCCATCCCAAGTGGGCTAGCCTTCCATATGCTCACTCCTGGAGCCTCAGTATCATCACAAGAACAACTGCTTATGTTTCTATAGCACTGAGTTGACAAAGCCCTTTCCTCACAACTATTCTGTAAGATGAGGCAACTAGGTGATATAGTGGAGGGAGATAGGAATTTAGAATTAGCAAGAATAGAGTTCAAACCCTGTTTCAGACTTAATCTCAAAGGTAAAGGCAGGGTGTTTACAGATGAAGGAATTAAAAATATACCTATTAGTGGATGACTGGGTGAATGAAAAAAATACATTTTAAATGTTTTCTACATCCAAAGCTAAGTGCTGGGAATAAAAATGGAAAAATAAGACAATCCCTGCTGTCAAGGAGTTCACGTTCTAATAGGAGGAGGCAGCACACCTAGGAAAGTTGGTTTCTGGGAAGACAGAAGGAGTAAGTCTCCCATGGGGTAGAGGCAAGGCATGGTTTTTAGTGTCATTTCCATGAATAAAATCATGTCCACTTCTGAGGTTGTTCCATTTGACAGTGCCTAGGACTAGGGTGGCAAGAACTTTCTTTTATATACCTTTCAGTATCCGTAGATATGGAAAAAACAGGGGTTACTCCTTTGGAAGATGGTTATTGGGGGCAGGCTAGTAGTAGGGTCAGTAATGTGTATGGGGTGCTGCCATTCTTAGGGCGTTTAGGTGCAGGGTTCTAGGTCTGAGAGAGGTGGTGGTCGAAGTATAGAGGATGATTTGGCCCATATGGAAACACCTCCTGTCTTGTCTTCAAAGTGTCTTAATGGCTTCAATGCTACTGAAAGGTCAAAGATGAGGATGGGAAGAATAAGAAAAAGCTATTGGATTTAGCAGTGAGATCACTGGTAAACTTGGAGAAAGTGTTTTCAATAGAATTGAAGGGGAGAAAAACCAGATTACAGGAAGGAATTAATGGCTATTTAGAACAGAAAGATGGGAGGAGAAGATAACTCCACAAGTTGGGCAGTGAAGGAAAGGAATGTATTTTATTTTAATATTAAATTCAGTCTCAGACTTATTGTTCTTAATAATTTGTTGCTCACAGGGGCAGCTAGGTGGGCAGTAGATAGAGCACTGGCCTCGAAGTCAGGAGAACCTGAGTTCAAATCCACCTCAGACCAAACACTTGACACTCGCTGTGTGACCCTGGGCAAGTCACTTAACCCCAATTGCCTAAAAAATAACAATAATAATAATAATAATAATTTGTTGCTCACATTGAATGATCATCCACTCATTTCCTCAATACATCAAGCATCTGTGATGAGTACTCCTTCAATTTCATACTGAGATTGACTCCTATTTCAGACACTTACTAGCTGTGTAGCCTTGAACAAGTCATTTAACCTCTGTCTATTTCAGTTTCCTTACCTGTAAAATGGAATTAATCATAGTACCTTCCTCCCTCATGGTTATTGTAAGGATCAAATGAGAAAATATGCAAGGTGCTTTACAAACCTTAAAGCACTATATAAATGTTAGTTATCATTATTAATAAGTTAGGTAGTACTTTATTACTGCTATTTTCCAAGTGGGAAAACAGGCTCAGAAAAGTTAAACAATTTGCCCCATATCACCTAGTTAGTATTTTAGCCAACATTTTAACCCAGGTGTGCTGACTCTAAGTACAGCATCTTTCCACGCTCTTCCATCAACATAGGATTGGATTTTGGTTCACCTTATTTGCTAATGCAGAAAACAATCTTTCTTTTTAGCAATTATGTTGAAAGTGGCACCCATATTAAGGCTGTACTATCTTTCCACCCCACCCCATACTGGAGAAAGAAGAGCATGGTACCAGGAAGTGACACAATATCCCAATTTTCCCAAAGAGATTCCATTAGAATCATTATCATTATTATTATCGTCATCATCATCGTTAGCACTTATATAGTGCTTTGGGCCAGCTAGGTGGCACAGTTAATAGAGTGCAGGGCCTGGAATCAGGAAGACTTATCTTCCTGAGTTCAAATCTGGCCTCAAAGACTTACTAGCTGTGTGATCCTGGGCAAGTCATTTAACCATGTTTGCCTCAGTTTCCTCATCTGTAAAATGAGCTGGAAAAGGAAATGGCAAACCATTCCAGTATCTTTTCCAAGAAAACCCCAAACTGAGTCACAAAGAGTTGGACATGACTGAAAAACAACTGAATAAAAACATATAGTGTTTTAAGTTTTGCAAAGAGCAAATATTATCTCATTTGATCCTCATGACAACCCTAGGAGGAAGATGCTAGTGTTATCTTCATTTTGCAAATGAGGAATTGAGGCAAACAAGGCTAAGTGAATTGCCCAGGATCACATAACTAGTAGGCGACTGAGGTCAAATTTGAACTCAAGTCTTCCTGACTCCAAGTTCAGCACTCTATCTAAATGTTCAACTGAACTACAAGAAAACTTTCTAAACTAGGAAGTAGCCATATGGAGACCCAAACTAGACCTCTGCAAGGTATTTCTCCCCAGATCCTCAGAAGCATATGGGAACACGTCTGGCTGGATCCCCTACAGGAAGAAGGGACAAACCCTTGAGTGGTTGTCACTCTACCACAACAACAGGGGAAGGAGTGTCCTCTCCCCTCTCCCATCAGATTTGCCGAAAGAACAAATAGTGTCTGCTCTAGGGGTGAAATGTATATGTATGGAAAGTAAAAGGAGGACTTACTCCGAGGGAAACCTAAGTCCCCATAGCTTTGGGGGAAAAGAAGGAATGAAGTACACCTCAGGTCTATCACTTTAAAAGACAACCCATGGGAAAGATAAGCATTGCAACGGCTCATCTTCTAAAGGCACGCTGTTCAGAGCTGGAAGAGGAAAGGGCTCATGGTCATCCTGCCTTGCTTTGATGAGCTTAAAAAAAAAAGACTGATGAAGATA